CATACCACATGTGGCGACGGCAGTCTCTCTAAAGTCACCTCTATTCCACTGTAGACTATACCAGAAATAAAGCAGGGACTATTTACACAGAGAGAGGGGGGTAACTCTACCAGTGGTCTATTGTGATACAAGTTTTGTCACGTTACAACTCCACTACCTTATACCAAAATAATTAGTTATTGTAATTTTATTCAAGGAGGCATACGGCACGATTCTGAGTCGCGCCATTATTGTGGGACGGAGGGAGTACTAACTAGGAGTTCCGAGCAGGTTTAACGTTTTGATTGGCTGGGAGTCTGGAACGTGATTTCATTGGCTCATCCATTAGAAAAACGTTTTGATTGGCTTAAATTGACAGAGCGTGAGTTTATTGGGTCATTGATTCTTGCTTCGACGAAAAAGTGAAAATAGATTTCAAAAAATGAGCACGTTAAGAAACACACTTTTTGTTTGAGTTCAGCGGATGGTTTGGCACACCACGATTCCATCTGAGAACCCACCGTTGTGTTTGTGCAACTTTCAGTATATCTAGTTCATTTCCCTTTTTTTTGGATTCAACTTTGACTTATTTTCAAATTTCTCGCACATATCTTGTACACTTGGTGGAATGAGACAGACGATATATTTCGAGCGAAGCCTACTCAATTCGGCTGTTGACGTATCATGGCGTAGCTTGAAGCGATGCATCTGTCTGACATCGACACCTATCCACGCGTGAGGCACGATGCATCATATCAAGGCATACCTGCAATCACCTCATCGGCGATTTGTTCAAGACACGCCGTACGGAACTGATCGCAAGTTTGGCCGTAGCCAATACCGTAAATGTTGAGATTCGCTCGAGATATATGGAGTATCTCTTGATTATAATGAACAATCGGCTAAATTCATGCACACCCGACGAACCGCGACACAAACAGTCCTGAACAAAAGTTGAAAATCATTGCACACACATCGTGCAGCAAGCGTGTGCGGCCCAACTCTACAAGCACGTACTTATCGTGCTGTTAAAAGATCGTTTCGCACATGAAAGTAAGTTGGAT